TACTGCATTGCGCTCTTACCTGGATCGGGATGTCCGAGTGCTGTATGGTGTCCTGCACCGCGCTCTTACCTGGATCGGGATGTCCGAGTGCTGTATGGTGTCCTGCACCGCGCTCTTACCTGGATCGGGATGTCCGAGTGCTGTATGGTGTCCTGCACCGCGCTCTTACCTGGATCGGGATGTCTGAGTGCTGTATGGTGTCCTGCACCGCGCTCTTACCTGGATCGGGATGTCCGAGTCCTGTATGGCGTCCTGCACCACGCTCTTACCTGGATCGGGATGTCCGAGTNCTGTACACTCCCCTTCCCCCGCTCTTCTGCCCGTTCCTCTCGTATATCAGCATCCTCGACTCACGAGACTGTACCACCCTTCCCCGCTCTCTGCGTCCGTCTCGATATGCATCATCCTCGACTCACGTACCTGTACCACTCCCCCCTTCCCCGCTCTCTGTTCCCGCTCGTATATCATCATCCTCGACTCACGTACCTGTACCACTCCCCCCTTCCCCGCTCTCTGTTCCCGCTCGTATTATCTCCTCCTCGACTCACGTACCTGTGCGAGCAGCTCCTTCGCTCGGCCACCGCTCTGGATGTCCAGCAGGCAGTTGTGGGCATCGCGGATGCTGCCGTGGCGGAACGCGCACAGTCCTAGCTGCACCATCTTTCACTTTTTTGTCCTGTTGTAGAGAATCTGCAAGACCGACGACGTACGAAACTCAGACTCGCTGCACTGACGGCTAAATCGGCCGGACCCGCCCGCGTCCACCTCGGTTTAAACTAGTCGCTTGTCGCTAAGCTATTGCACGAGGACAACTCTTCGTCGGGGGTTTAATGACCTTAGGGGTAAGACGGTGTACAAAACTCTGACTGTGCATCGTAGCACAGCGATAGACGGCTAACCGGCGTAGGGGCAATACGGCGTACGAAACTGTGCACGAAACTCCAACGGTGCGCCGCCGCGCAGTGACCTATGGCTAAATCGATCCGACTCGCTTGTGCCTGCCTTGGTTTAAGAGGCGTGGAAGCAAGACGACGTACGACACTCCGACTGTGCGCCGCCGCGCAGTGGCCGACGGCTAAATCGGCTGAACCCGCCCGCGCCTGCCTTGGTTTAAACTATAGCGTGCAGCTAACTTCATAACGCTACTGCACTGAGGACACTCTCTCGTCTAACCGGCATGGGGCGAGCACGACCCCGCGTCCCGTACGTACGGCCCGGCCCTCGGAGCGTCGCGCCGGCGAGTGGACGAAACACGAGACGCGTTGTCGCCCTCGCGAAGAGAGACGCGCCCCGGCCGCGCCGCCGCTCTTACGCTGGATTGGGATGGTCCGTGTGCTGTATGGTGTCCTGCACCGCCGCTCTTACTGGATCGGGCATGTCGAGTGCTGTATGGTGTCCTGCCACCGCGCTCTTACCTGGCATCGGATGCTCCGAGTGCTGATGGCTGCTGCACCGCGCTCTTACCTGATCGGGATGTCCCATGCTTATGTGGCTGCTGCCACGCGCTCTTAGCCTGGATCGGATGTCGAGTGCTGTCGTGTCCTGCCACCGCGCTCTTACCTGAGATCGGATGTCCTGTGATGCTGGTATGGTGTCCTGCACCGCGCTCTTACCTGGATCAGAGTCGGAGCTACCTGTATGGTGTCCTGCATCGCCGCTCTACCTGGATCGGGTGATGTCCGATGCTGTATGGTTCTGCAGCGCGCTCTTACCTGGATCGGGATGTCCGAGTGCTGTATGCGTCCTGCACGCGCTCTTACCTGCGATCGGATGTCGAGTTGCTAGGGGTCCTGCATCGCGACTCTTACCTGACGGGATGTCCTGAGTGCTGTATGTGTCCTGCACCGCCGGCTCTTACCTGCGATCGGCATGTCCGAGTGCTGTATGTGACCTGCACCGCCCGCTCTTACCTGGATCGGGGTATGTCCGAGTGCTGTTAGTTGGTGTCTGCACCGCGCTCTTACCTGGATCGGGATTCGAGTGCATGTATGTGTCCTGCCACCGCGTCTACCTGGATCGGGAGTATTCCCGATGCTCTATATGGCGTGCCTGCACCGCCGCTCCTCTACCTGGATCGGGATGTCCGAGTCGCCTGTATGGTGACTGCACCGCGCTCTTACCTGGACCGGGATGTCCGAGTGCCTGATATGGTGTTCCTGCACGCCCTCTTACCTGGATCGGATGTCGAGGCTTGTATGGTTTGTCTGCACCGCCTCTTACCTGAGATCGCAGATGTCCAGTGCGTATGGGACCTGCGCCGCCGCTTTACCTGATCGGGAGTCCGAGTGTGATGTGTCCTGTCACGCGCTCTTACCTGGATCGCATGTCCGAGTGCTGTATGCGTCCTGCCACCGCGCTCATTACCTGGATCGGATGTCCGAGCTGGCTGTATGCGGTCAATGCACGTGCTCTTACTGGATCGGGATGTCCGGCTGGCTGTATTGGTGTCTGCCACGCCGCTCTTACCTTGGATTGCGGATGTCGTGTCTGTATCGTGTCCTGCCACCGCGCTGCTTACCTGGATCGGATGTCCGTGCTGCTGGTATGGTGACCTGCACCGGTGCTCTTACTGTCCGAAAAAAATAAATGCAGGGATGTCCGTGTGCTGTATGTGTCCTGCCGCTGCTCTTACCTGGATCGGGATGTCTGAGTGCCGCTGTATGCGTGTCCGCACCGCCGCTCTTACCTGGATCGGATGTCGAGGTTGCTGTATGGTGTCCTGCCCCGTGCTCTTACCTGGATCGGGATGTCCGAGTTGTGTATGGTGTCCCGCACCGCGCTCTTACCTGCGATCGGGGATGTCCGAGTGCTGGTATGGTGGCCCCTCTGCCACCGTGCCTCTTTACTGATCGGATGTCCGAAGTGCTGTATGGCTGTCCGACCGCCGCTCTTACCTGGATCGGATGTCCGAGTGACTGTATTCGTGTTCCTGCACCGCGCTCTTACCCTGGATCGGGATGTCGAGCTGCTGTATGGGGTCCTGCACGCCGCTTACTGGATCGGGATGTTCGAGTGCTGTATGGGCCCGCACGCGCTCTTACCTGGTCGGGGATGTCCGAGTGCTGCTATGGTGTTCCTGCACGCGCGCTCTTACTGGATCGGATGTACGAGTGCTGTATGGTGTCCTGCCACCATTCTCTTACTTGGATCAAGATGTCCGAGGCTGCTATGGTTCCTGCCCCATCCTCTTACTTGGATCAAGATGTCCGGTGCTGGTATGGCGTCCTGCACTCGCCTCTTACCTGGATCGGATGTTCGAGGTGCTGTATGCCGTGTCCTGCCGCCGCGCCTCTTACTTGGATCAAGCATGTCGAGCGCTGTATGGTGTCCTGCGCACCGCGCTCTTACTGGTCGGTCATGTTCGAGTGCTCTAGGGTCCTGGCACGCGCTCTGACCTGGCGATTCCGTATGTCGAGGCTGTATGGGGTCTCTGCACGCGCTGCTTACCTGGCATCGGGATCTCGAGAGCTGTATGGTGTCCTGCCATCGCGCTTTACCTAGATCGCGGAGCCGAGTGCTGTATGCGTGACATGCACCGCGGCTCTACCTGGATCGGGATGTCCGAGTGCTGTATTGGTGTCCTGCACTGCGCTCTTACCTGGATCGGCGATTCCGAGGGCTGATATGGTGTCCTGCCACCGCGCTCTACCTGGATCGCGATGTCCGAGTTGATGTTTATGGTTGTCCTGCATCGCCGCTCTTACCTGGATCGGGATGGAATGGAAAATCCAACAACTAAACCGTCCGAGTGCTGGTATGGTTGTCCTGCAGCGTGGCCGACATGAGCCATGAGGCGTCTCGCCGCCTCGAACCACGCGGTCGTGCATTGCATCGCGTGCGTAGATGGTGGGCACAAGATGGCGCGCTTCTGTTATCCGGTCGGTGACGTCCTGGACGAAACGAACGTAGACACTTCAATCATATCTCGCGCTCACGAAACGAAATAGCAGCAACGTATTAGCCAGCGACGTGCAGCCTTGCATTTGCACGCGTCAAGTTTTTTGAAACTGCGCGGCAAAAATGTGTAGCACGGGCCTAAAATATTTGATCTAAAAGCCGTGTACATTTGTAAAATTCGCATTCGTACTCATTCCTGGCTAATACCCTGAATAGCAGACGCTTCAATCACACCTTGCACTCACAAAACGGAATGGTAGACGCTTCAATTACACCTCGCGCTCACAGCAGCAAACATCATATCTCATCTCCAAGGAGCTAAATATAACAAGGAGAGGAAGCCGCCGCACCATATCTGGCCCAAAGTTGGGTTCGGCACGAGACTAGAACAGTATTAGTGTTCTATTGTCTGTGCGGTTCGCCCGTCTGCCCACAGCCGCTTTCAGCCTGATTATGTCCATAGCATGGCGCCCTTGAGGCGAAAGCACACAGCCAATCCGCTTCCTCTCCCTTGTATATTTAGCCTACTTGCTCGATCTCGTGTGATTGGCTGTGACCACGCAACATACACAGTGCTATGATTCTAGTGAATACGATCATACGATCACTACAGCTTCACACACTACCGGGAAAAAATTCGTAAATTTATTTTTCGGGGGCTACTGTTTCAGCTTCGCGTGCCTGAAATAGCACTCTAAATTTGGTGTGCATTGAACTCTATGAAATTTACCGGGGGCTTTTTTGCATTCGGGGCCTAAATCGCCCCGTGTATTTTTTCACTGCCCACACTACGGTATAACATCATCGATCACAACGCATACTGTGCCATAAACACACCTATCACTGTGGGAAACAGACACATCTCATTCAGCACCGTGGGAACAAACACATCTCATTCTCATCACTGGTGGAACAAACACATTCATCTCATCACATGGGGCAACAACACATCACATCCTCATCCTTGCAGAACAAACACATCTCATCTCACACTGTGGGAACAAACAATCTCATCTCTCACTGGGGAACAACACATCTCATCTCACCACTGTGGGAACAACAGCATCTCATCTCACACTGTGGAAACAACAAACATCTCATCTCCACCACTTCATTGGAACCAACACATCACATCTGATCACTGTGGGAACAACCATCTCATCCTCACCCACCTGTGGGAACAAAACATTCTCAATCTCACCACTGTGCGGAACAACACATCTCATCTCACCACTTGTGGGAACAACATCATCTCATCTCACCACTGTGGAAGCAACCACATGCACATCTGATCACGTGGAACAACACATCACATCTGATCACTGTGGGAACAAGACACTCACATCTCATCACGTGGGAACAACAACATCTCATCTCACCACTTGTGCGAAACAACGACATCACATCTCACCACTGTGGGAACAACACATCTCCAATCTCACACTGTGAGAACAACACATCACATACTGATCACTGTGGGAACCAACACATTTCACCATCTATCACTGCTGGGAACAACACATGCTCATCTCACACTGTGGGAAACAACACTCTCATCTCATCACCTGGGAACAACACACTTCTCATCTCATCACCATGATGCAACAACACATCACATCTCACCACGGTCAGAACAACAACCATCTCAATCCACCAGTGTGCACACGACCACACAGCATGTCGCTGTCGTGTAGTTCTGCCTAAATCGACATAGTTCGCTACACCACATGAAGACTAAGAGACACTGTGTGTTGAGATCAGACAGTCGCAGATATTTAACACATGCCAGCTTGTTTTGACCATACGCTATAAGGCGACAAAACAAAAATCATGTGCTGGTTTACCCTTACATGCCGAAAAAAAAATAGGGTAGGTAGGTATGGGAAAATTTTATTTTCTTGAAAATTTTATTTATGAGACCATGTCCGAAGGCATGTGCGTCTTGCCTTTTTGAAGCAGGCAACTGTCAATTCATATTTTTTTATTTTTTATTTTTTTCTTACTTAAAGAAAATTGTCCGACAATAAAATGTTTAGGGTAGCTGGAAATAAATAGGGTCGGTCGGGAAACCGTAACCACACCTATATTTTGTTTTGACCTAATAGTATCGACCGTAGAGGACGGAGCTTACCTTAGCGTAGATGAACTTGCAGAGTTCGTCCATCAGTGCGGAAGGATCCTGCAGAACCTCCTCCTGCTCGGTGTCCTCCGCGATCTTGCTCTCTTCTCCGCTATCCACGTCATTCTCCTCCGCCGGCTTGGCTTCCTCCTTCGCCTGCTCCTCGTTCGTCGCGTCTTCCTTCGTCGTCGGTTCTTCCTTCGTCGTCGGTTCTTCCTTTGTCAGCTCCTCCTTTTTCGGCTCCTCCTTTTTCGGCTCCTCCATTTTCGGCTCCTCCTTTTTCGGCTCCTCCTTTTTCGGCTCCTCCTTTTTCGGCTCCTCCTTTTTCGGCTCCTCCTTTTTCGGCTCCTCCTTGGTACTTCTTCTGCTCGCCGGTCTGTTCTGTCGCCTTCTTCGCTTGACTCTTCGCTGTGCTTGCATCGTCACCTTCCTGATGGTCGAGTAGTCAAAACTGCAAACACAACGCCAGGCGAGGAAAGAGAACTGGTCAGCAATTACAATAAAACGGTAATCAACGTAATTATCTCGTCAGGCTTTATTATTATCTTTATTTATGATCTCGCACGGCAGGGCAGATTGTTGCCCGAGGAAGCTTGACAGTTGACAGAACGTTGTTAAGTCATAATGTCATGTGAGGAAAACTGCAAACGACTACAGACAGCTCTGGAAAATTACAGTTTGGTGAGCAACGTTGGCCTGTGGGCAAACTATAAAACTGTCTACACCGTCATATGCTGACATTAGACGCGCTTTATCTAGCAGTGGTTGGCCACAACACTCTCCCTGACACCACATAGTCGCACACACTCTCCCTCCCTCTCTCTCTTCTTCCCTCGCTGCCTATCTCTCTCTCTCTTCTTCCCTCGCTGCCTATCTCTCTCTCTCTCTTCTTCCCTCGCTGCCTATCTCTCTCTCTCTTCTTCCCTCGCTGCCTCTCTCTCTCTCTTCTTCCCTCGCTGCCTCTCTCTCTTCTTCCCTCACTGCCTCTGTCTCTCTTGCGCACATGCGCGCTCTCGTGCTCTCTCCCTCTCCCCCGCCCTCTCCCTCTCTCACTCCCACCTCTCTCTCTTTCTCTCTCACTCTCTACGCTACTCCACTTTTTGCACTGCAAACTTTCCCGCGCTCTCTCTCGCACCGTACACTGCGCGCCAGCCACTACGGTAGCGGCGGCAGCTCAGGGGGGGCAGAAAGGCAGGCTCACCTTGTAGTACATGTGGTTGACGCGGACCATGTAGACGCGACACATGTCCGGCGCTGAGCTCCTGCCCTCCATGTACGTGTGCAGCTTCCGTATGATGGTGCAAACAACCTTCTCGTCCTTCAGCCTGCAACGTCACGCGCCACGCAATTACATTCATTCTTACAATTACATAATTCTCTGCTGCATGACGGTCTCGGAGATATGTTCGGAAAAACTCATCCAGTGACGATATCGTCAAAAATATTTCCTATAAAGAAGGGTCACCAGTCCTGGACTGGGGGATCGGCTGCTATTTACAATGCTGCAATACAGCTCCTCTATTCCTTTTACCCGACAGGTAGAGTATGAAAGTCTACATGTCTCCATTGGGTTTACCCGATTAGCCAGAGATCAATAGAGCACAGATAGTGTTAGTCTCAACCGTGGAACTTCAGCGAGAGCATCGATGTAGTTAGTAGTTAGTAGGATTTATCATAATGCGACGATCGCATTATAACCGACGCGATTCTCCACACGCCCGCACGCGGATTTTAGCGCGCAACCCACCGAGGGGGCGCCGCCGTCGCGTCGCCACGCACCTGTCGACGTATTCGGTGCTGTGGGCGTCGCAGGCCTGCAGCATCTTCGTGAACTCCTCGTCCATGCGCTCGACCATGCTGATGATGCAGCCGCGGATGCGGTACTCTCCCTCGTCACTCTAAAACGCACACGAGACGCGCTGACGAATCACGCGCACGATCGCTCGGCGCGGCGCGGGCACCGTGGACGTGCAGTCGGGGCCGCGGCGAGTCGTTTACCCCGCTAATGACGCCCCCATGAGGAACACGTTTACCCTGTGACGGTGCAGCAGGGGTAAATTTACCCTCAAACACCCCAGAGGGGTATGTTTACCCTCAAACACCCCAGAGAGGTATGTTTACCCTCAAACACCCCAGAGGCATATGTTTACCCTCAAACACCCCAGAGGCGTATGTTTACCCTCTGACAGTTCCCCAGGGGTGATGTACGTTTTGCTGTGTTCAGGGGTGTACAATTACTTTCTGGCACCTCGAGAGGGGTGTACATACCCTCTAATGCCCCAGGGGTTCGATTACTTTCTGACAGATCCCCAGGAGATAAGTTTACCGCTCTGATGGTGACCCAAGGAAGCCGTGTACTGCTTAACGCCAGAGTGGGGATATGTATATTTACCCTCTGACGGCGCTACAAGTACTATGCTACAAGTACTGTGCTACAAGTACTATG